CCTAGTCTTTTAAAAAAACCATTCTCATACAGGTCATAGATGACTCACAATAGGCTTTCTCAAATTGTGCACCTGAGTTCGGACTTTTGATGATCAGATTTATGATGAGTTGTGTTTACCTATAACACCATTAGCAACGATGATACATAAAGCGTTTGTAGAGTGACCTCGAGTACTATTATTCCTTCCTCAGCTTGACTCCCCGATAATAGAATTATAATATACTGTCGTAATTCGTAATCATACTAGTATGTAATAACAATACAAATTATATTTGTACTTCCAACTTTCACGTTTTTTTATACAGGAAAACTAACCTAACCTGCAGGCTGCAGAGTACCTATTCATTTTTTGATTGTGATAACATTAATTTGATGTTATTGTGCAATCACAGTCTGTAGGAAGTCATATTCTTTAAAAATAAATATCTCGTTATTCTCATAATATTTCTAAGTAACAAGTATTGAAGTGTCCTTAGGAATACATATATTTAGTAATTATAGTACATTGTTGTTTCCCTTTATTTCTAATTCAAGCATTATCTACACCTATAAGTACGGACAGAGCTCATTTGTATCAATTGGAAATAATTATAATGAAAAATTTAGTCCCGTTTGGCAATAATAAATTATTTATACAGGAAATTATAATTTCCATAATATTTAATATATTCGTTAATATCATGTTATATTATAACCTCCCATATTAATCGTACTATCGAAAAATATTGTTAAGCATTCTTTAGATAAGAACAATTTAACGTGAATGCTGAATTATTATATGTGCTAGGTGAAAAGGGAAAACGAGGACGGCGATGACAGTTTTCCCGAAATATCGATCAACCGAAATAATTATCGTGGTTAAAGTTACTGTGGGTTTATAGAATCTCACAACGTAATTCGCAGACGGTCGCGTCCGTAAAGTTTCCCCCCCGAATCACTATTAATTGACGAAATCCAGTAAGGTTCTAGAACTCACGTGGCCCGATAGCGATACTGGATATACCCAATGGCACATAAAATACGACTATTTTTGGCAAAATATGTAACTGCTTATCTATACAGAGCGGTTGTCGTGTGTGGTTGAACAGTAGCTGATAATAAATAAAAACCATTCTACACCGACAGTACAGCAGCATCCTATTTCAGTACCAGTGGACTTCGTGCAGATCTCGCAGCGTGGTAATTTCCTGTCCGCCGAGAGTCGTCGTCGAGCACCGACTGTTCGCCGCATAACTCGACTAAATCTCCTCGTGGTCGCCGTCTGCCGAACAGATGCCCAACGGACGCTCTGGCTGACACTGGCACTGGAACCGGAACAGTGCGGCCGTTATCAGCAAGACGTATCTTTTACGTATCTTTTGGATTCAAACGCCTACGTGGCCACCAGCCGCCGATCCACATGACGGAACATTCACGAACGCAACGACCACCGTGTTTTTATTTAATAGTTATTTACTATTCTTCGTCGAATTTCAGTTTATAATATAGATTGGCGTTCCGGTGTTCGAAGGCCATAATAATGTCATATAATAATTAATAACTATATCATCCCGCCGATTGTTTCTGTTAGTAATTGGTAAGATACGTATTTATGTACTCAATAGCGTATTTGTATAACTCGTTAATAGAATTTAAAACATGCTAAAGTACGGTTTATGAAAAATGAACAAAATTACCCCTTTTGATTTTTCCTAACGAATAGATCGTTACAAAAATATTACTGAAAATTTAAGTTCAGTTCATTTGACGATATTTTTATCCTACTATTTATTACTACCTCGTTAATGTACACATATATAGGTACACGTGCCTATAAAGATATTACAATTTTTACTTATACCTATATTTCGTACATCGATGTTATAACCTTATAGTAGAAGTGCAGACTTTATAGAGTATTAGGTAGGTATTGTTACAACACAAATGGATGATTAAATATTTTTTTCTAACTAACTTTAATAAAGTTAATAATAGATAATATTATATATTATCCTTATACGTTTTTAAATACTTCAATTGGTTTTACAATTGATCATAAATATATCCTACACAGTATACATTATAGGCATATAATATTATTTATATAATATATATTACATATACCTATATACATGTATAATATGTATTTATAATAATAAGGAGGATGTTTTGGATGTATAGTGATTCTGTAAACATTGCATCTCTCATGAATCCCCGATTTCGACGGTTCGATGCCCTCTATACCTACCGGTTACCATGAATCTAATAGTCGATGCATATCTAGTAAGGAGCTAAAATTTAGACTATAATACTATACACATCCTAAAAGAATTATTACATCAAATGCAATCAAAATATTTTGAACAAATAGTTCATTAACATACATGCTAACAATGATAACATAATATATTTCCTATAATATGTATTAGGTACTGCAGGCCCTATTTTTATGTGCACCACGACACACAATGTGCACTACGAATATACAAGTGTGCACTACGATTTGAACGTGTGTGCACTACGGTCTACAAAACAAAAATTGCCAAGTCAGGGATCGGCATGTAAACTTTCTTGATTTTGAATTTTTAGAAATTTTTTAACTGATTTAATCACACCCAAACGGTCAAACAATATGAATCCAGAAAAATGTCGGCGTGAACAGCCCCACAAAAAATCATTTTCATTTTCATTTAGTGAGATAGATCTCCGAAACCGGACAGCGGATTTCGTTGATTTTGGTCTTGTTAGATTCACATTGGTTAGGAGAAGTGCAGTGAAGATTTGCAGAACTTTATCTTAAATAGTTAATTCACTACAGAACATTAAAATAAATTAAAACAAATTTTATTGGGCGTTTTTTTATGTTTTTCATCTTTACAGCTTTGTAATGAATTAACGATTTTAGATAAAGTTCTGAAAATCTTCACTGCAATTCTCCTAGCAAATGTGAATTTAACAAGACCCCAAACAACAAAATCCGTTCTCCAGTTTCGGAGATCTACATCTCTAAATGAAAATCTAGAGAAAATAACTCTTTTTTTTATATGTGAAAAATTAAATAATTAAAAAAAAAAAAATTAATTCCATATTTAGTGTCTACCTGATAATCCCTTTTTAATGAGTTATCAACCAAATTTCTAGCTAGGTATCATAGTTTAGGATAACAGTTAAAAAATAGAAATTTTGAGACTGTTCACGCGAATGTTTTTATCGATTCAAATTGGGTATACCGCTTGGGTGTGATATAAAATCTCTCTTATTAATATTTTATATTAAAGCTAGCTAAATTACCCACCTATTCATCATTACTGAGTTACATTTTTATTATTTTCCTATTTAACACAAATTCTTGAAGTTTTCAAAGTTCAGACTTTTTTCATTTCAATTACTATACTTACTTGATGAAAAATCAAGAAAGTAATATGCATTGTTATGATTTTAATTATTAAAAAGTTAAGTTAAGGTTTTTATTATTATATTATGCTATTTAATTTTTATGATTTTTATTAAAAGATAAGTATTTTGTTGTTTTATTGAATTGCATTGTTAAATTATTGTATACATCATGTAATATGTATTATGTAATACATTCCTTTTGCTAAGATGGTAGCGAGAATAAAATGAAACGTGCAATCCGAAATTTTACAAATAATAGGGCCTGAGGTACTGTATTATAGTATACTTTAAACTAAAATAATAATAAATTAAAATAGGTACCCAATCATATATCAATACCATTATTGGAAATTTAGAATGTTTATTAGACGTATAAATACTCAATTCCGTTTTATAATAATGTCATGTATAACTAAATTTGGTCCTTACACTTTAAAGTTAAAACCACTCAAACCAATATTATTTTTATATTACAAATTAAGTGTCATAGTTTAAGAACCAGAGGCGTGTCTAGGACCAAATTTCAGGACAGGCCCGGTTACAAAAATAATTTGTGTATAGTCAACACATTTTTCAGTTAAAGAAAAATTGCATTATACTTTTTAAGTCATGAGTATGACGTACTATTTATTAAGAACTATTTATAATATAAAAAATACAAAACGAAGACTGCCACTCGCGAGCTCGGTCGCCAACCGTGACAATAAATTTAACACAGGCGGTGATCGCCGACCAAATACCGACGGTCGTCGGGTCGTGTAATATCTATATAGAAATGTGGGGTATTTCCAGGAAGCGCTTGAGAGAATTGCCGATAACTTTTACTATTGTTAATTTTATTTATAGACAAATATTTATATTGTATACAGCAAAAAATATGATCGATACATCGTGTGCTTATATAAATATAATTTTAAAATGCATATTTTGGGTACACTTAAAGGTTAAAAATCAGGGTAGGCCCGGGCCCACCAGGCCTACCCGCTGGACACGCCTCTGTTAAGAACATCTTTATTATATGAAGTTTACTAACATAGGTATTTTACGAACTTTACATAATTTTCCAGTAAATAAATACAAATTAATGATTTTTCTCCAAATACAATATCGTGAGTTAAATTGTTATAATTTCTAAAGTTTAAAAATAATAAATCTATTAAAATTTGATATTTTACCAAAAATTATTGTTTCAACATACCTACTGAAAAATATTATACTATCGTATTTTACCATGTATCTATTAGCCATAAAAACCTATACACTTAAGCCGGATTCACAGCTACGCCGAGTGTTGTGTCGTGCGTGAGCATGAAATTTGAAAGTTGTAACCATTGGTAACAATGGTTACAACTCGTTACCTTATTGGTTTAAATGTTGAGGTGTATAGTAAATCCGTGATATACTCGGTTGTAACTTGGTTATTGCACGATACCAAAAGAGTATTGTCCAATCAGAATGCGATTTTATTAACACGACGTAGCAGCTGTGAACCAGGCTATATCATTTACTTGTTAACACCAGTTAAACCCCGGTATAATAATGATACGTATACCTCGGCGGTTAAAGTTAAATAATATAAATATGATGTTGAATTAACTATAATAATTAAATTTATTCACGTACCACATCTTCGTAGATTGGCGTTGATCGGGCCTGTCGACTTGTATTGTTGGATTCTTGAATGGGTCTTGAAAAAACAATTTGCACGCTAATTGCCAAAAAAAACCATCGAACAACCAGCAATTTGAACGGCATAGGCTCGACGAATATTCGGGCCGTTAGCATGTTATCATACGCCAACCGACAGTCATTTATGTCCGATATAACACTTGCTACAAAACACAACACGAACGTCATTAAAAAAACTAAAAGATTACAAGACACATTGAATAGTGAATACATACAAATATTATATTGTATTGGGTGGTAGTATAACTTGTAATGCAATAATTATTTTAATTCAGGTAAGTACCTAGGTATACCAGATTATTGAGAACATGCATTTTTAATACTTTATTCCTAAGCAGAATTTTATAAAAAATTAATAATAAAAAAAAAATTATATAAAAAATCAATTTCGGACTAGCAGTTTTTAAATAGGCTACCTTATATAGTACCTTTAAGTAGGTACCTATTGAAAGTTCTAATTAATAAACTATACTTTGATTTTGATTTTTTTGGATCGAAATTTTCCTAATAATATTGTGTTTCGGTATATGATAAATAATAAAATATTTTATGCTAATTTGTCATTCAAGAGTAAAAAACTTAAAAAGTAATAACGATAAAATAGAAAAAATATAAGTTTTTCTCAAAATGTTGTTTTGTAACGACTTAATCTATGGAAAAAGTAATATTTTAAAAAACGTTAGTGTTTACCGAAATAACGAGTGTCTTATGTTAAATAGATCGTCATGTTTATTATATTTTATCATTTACAATTACCAGTTAATAATATCATACTATTTTAAATTTTTCTATGATTATCAGTATTTGTTTTTAAAAGATTTTTAAAAGTTATTGTATTTTACGTGATATTGCCCTGGTTTACGATACAACGAATCAAACTATATTATAACAATGTAACTCAGTTGTGAATCATTGACCAAATATCGTGATACCAATATACCACAAAAAAATAATACCACCAGCACTATATCGCTTGGACAAAATTTCGTTAGTATCTATAAAATATTGCAAAAATATAATTATAATAATATGATATATATAAATCCAATTCAAGTATAATTAATATTAATTAATAGTAACTACTACTTAAATAAATTATTTTTGATTTATCATTCTACAAATAATACTATAGACTAATCTTATAAGTTATAACATTGGTATACTTTAATAATACAATAAATATAAGTATAAGTATATACTTAGTATAGTATTGTATATAAGTATACAATTAATAATAATTATTATTATTATATATTATACTAACTATTAAATATTAATTATACTTAGATGATTCAAGTTGTACTATACCAATGTACTATACCAATGCACTTTATAATTATATTTCTATTTGCGATATATTTTATAGTAACGACATTTTGTCCATGCAATTTTTTCGTTACGCAACATTTTATCAAAGATTTGTTGTCAGTATACCCTTTAATAATTCTTTTGTAGACCGTTGATGTTTATAATGTTTGTTTTGCCATATAATACATTAGTTTTTTTTTAATAGGAATTATTTTTCATAAAAAATATTACACGATCAATATTTTAGACGATTTAATAATAATTAACCATAATAAACTGATAGCATATTGATAGTCAAACAGTAGTGGATACATGACGAAGAATTATAATAATGAGTTATAATATTTATAATAAGCTAATGATGTCGATAACTATTTCGGTATAGCCAAGTTTGACAGATTAAACCTTATTGTAATTTTATTGTTCAATAATAAAATAGTCAATAAAACCATTTAAGAGGACCAAAAAGCTGTACCTACATAAAAACTTTTCACATACAGGCATCCAAGAGATGAAAACTCTAACAATAATGTACCTATATTGTTAATATTATTTTTATAGCTAAATACAGTGCCAGTATACACTATACCTACATGTATTGTTCATTGATATTTGATACTAGGTAATGATTCTTTAGTTTGTGATACTAAATTTAATGTTGAATTTGACTTTTACTTTTAAATTTATTAATTTATATGTGTTTGATGAATTATGAATAAATCGTACATCGATAAAATAAATTAAAATTTTTAATTATTACTTGTACAATTTAAATAACATATATTTTATTATTTTAAATTACAACCTATATAGTGGCACTATTCAATTATTGTGGTCTGTGAATAGGCATTTAAAAAAATTCTTTGACAATAACAATATAAATGAAATAGATTATATCGACTCTCGAGTTATTTGAAAATAATAGTACAGCACTAAAACAATTGTATAATAAAAATAAATACATACATTAAAATAAGGGCACACGTGTCGTATGCTATCTACCAAGAAAATGATATCTACAAAAATCTACGTATACGTGTCGTATGCTATCTACCAAATAAATCATATATAAAAATCTACAAATCTTTCGCATAAACTTAATCCACTATTATTTTTTCCATGGTTGTCGGTGTATGTAAAAAATGGATTTTCTTTACGAATGGATTGCCATGTTTAACAACCCTTTTTTTTACATCGTAAATATTTTGTTATAATAATATCTCAATTTACATCACGTTTCCAGATTTTTTTTAAGTTTCTTTCATTTCACCATTACATTGTTCTCCAATAGAATTTAATTTTGTATACAGTTTTGTATTGGGTAATAAATCACGATCTTTTAAAAATTGTATACAAGTTTCGTCATTAAAAATAATTTTTCTATATAATTCACCCAAAGTACTCATTTTATAAAACCATAAATTTAAAATTAATAAAAAACACACAACTACGACTTTGAAATCGGTGATCAACGATAATAGAAATATACGTCAATACGAATTACGCTTGATAACGTAGATACGGTAGATAGCATCATACGACACCGTCAATTTGTTGGTAGATAATATACGACACGTGTGCCTAAAAAAGAATTTGTACATTTTTGGTGTTATTATTATATAATATTTTTATTTTTTTTTTTTTTTTTTTTTTTTTTTTTTTTTATTAAATGAGCCACAACAACATAGATTATTGGCTGTGATTAAATTTTACATAGAAAGATAAAACGGAGGGAGAGTTATATAATTCAAGTATGGGGCGCGAATGCGTATTTAGATTAAATTATATAATTTAGTTAGTTTTAAAAAAGTAAATATCTTTTGGATGTTGTCCGGATCCGGGCCGAGTGCTTCATAAAGATTGTCAGCTAGTTTGAGGTTGACTCTGACGTCGTTGTGTTCTAGACAGGAGCATATGATGTGCTTGACTGTAGGTGTTACGCCGCAGGAGAGACATGGTTCGGGATTCGTTTTGGTCATTAAGTGTTTGTGGGTTAACCATGTGTGACCTATTCGAAGTCTATTAAGAATTACTTCATGGCGCCGGGGAAGTGGAATGGTTGGCCATGGGAGAATGCTTGGTTTGATTTCATTTAGCTTAGTACGTAGAGTTGACCAGGTGTGTTGCCAATTTTTTAGAATGTAATCGGCGATGAAATGTTTTGAGTCTTGTAATGTGTGTGAGCAGAGGATTATAGAGTGTGGAGATGAGATGGACTGTTTGGCGTATGTGTCAGCTAACTCATTTCCGGGGATGCCAATATGACTTGGTATCCATATCAAAGAGATAGTCTGTGCGTTGGTTTGAAGAAACGATATCTGGTTCTGGATTTTTTGTGATATGCTATTAGGTTGGTAGTGGTTTTGGATGCTTTTGAGTGTGCTAAGGGAATCGCTTAGTATGATAGATTTGTTTATTGAGTCTTGTTTTATAATGTCTAGTGCATGGGAGATAGCCAAGGCTTCGGCTGTGTAGATTGAACAATAGTCAGGGAGCTTGAGCATTCGTCTGGTTTCACAGAATGTAACTGCAGCGCCTACGCCGGCTTCTGTTTTGGATCCATCCGTGAAAAAGAGAATATGGTCTTGGTATCCTTCGAGTCATATAATATAGAGTAGTGTAATTTATTAATTTTACGAGGGCATAATAGAAGCACAACGTCATAAACGTTTTTTTTTTAGTGCTAGAACTCAGGGCCGGTTTTAAGGGGGGCACCGGTGGGCAATTGCCCGGGGGCGGCACACTTTGAGGGTGGCAAAATTATCTCAGATAAAATAAACAAAAAATTAATTTTTTTTGTAAAGAGAAAGATTTCTAAAAAATGATATATTTTATTATTATTTATTTTTTAAATTCACATATGCATACATTTTTTTTTACCTATATTTTATCATTTTAAATAAAGAAAAATAAACGTTATTAACTAAGTAGGTAGGTACCTAACATTATTAAATATTAGTGGGTTTATTTTTACTAGTAAACTGTAAAACTAGACGTATAGTATAACTGCGTTGGCCCGTATTGGCAAATCAGGATTATCGATTGTACTTATTTACTGGCTACTAAAATACGTTTGTGTCATTTCATATTATACAACTTGCTAAACTCTATATGTCAGTGACTACGTACTCCGTACCTACATAATTTAAATCTCAATAAGTGAACTAATATAATAGAAATAAGAGTTTACTTTTTTTTGAATTGTTATATAAAATAAAATTTTATTATTATTATTATATTATTTATAATAATATTAAAACTTTCAACTTTATAATTGATATTGTAAGGTTGTGCCAGTTAAGGTAGGTACACTACAATTACACAGTTTAGGTTCACTTAAATTACATTTCAAATCTGCATACAACTATTGGATATATTTATATGTTTATATATTTATACATTATACATATGAATTGAATGCAGTAATTTAGCCATAGTGGCAAGTAGGTAAATAATAATTAATAAGTAAGACTAGATAAGTTTAATTGTGTCATAACAATTTTTTAGTTGAAATTAGGTATACTTTAATGGAGCTAAAAAGAGTCAAAGCTAGTGGTGTATGCAATGGTAAGGAGGCAAAAAAAAGAAGGAAAAACCTAATAAAGTTATAAGAAAAACAAACGAAATAAATACCATGTTTAAACTTAAAAGAGAAGAGCATAGTGAGAAAGTAGAAACCATAGTTTGGAATTCAAAGTAAACATATATTTAGTGATTTGTGATTCTATAATAGAAGAATTAACAAGTCGAAAGTTAGCTTACGATAATGTCATAACAAAGTATAGTTTTTTTTTAAGACTCACAAAGATAAAACCATCAGAAGTACGTGTTTTAGCTGAACATTTGTACTCAATGTATAC